CCCTAAACTTGCTAAAACCCGAAGCCTTCAACCCGCTAAACCCTAAACCCTAGTAAACATTCATACGCTCTAAACCCTCAATGTCAAACCCTAAACCCTAATGAACTGTACACACTAATATGCCCCAAACCCTACTAAACCATAAACCCTACTAATCCCTAAACCCTAGTAAACCCTAAACCCTAAACTCTCGTAAACCCTAACCCCTGAAGATACCCCCTGAACCCTCATAAACCCTAAACCGTCACAAACCCTAAACCGTCACAAACCCTAAACCCTCAAAAACCGTAAACCCTGATAAACCCTAAACCCTCATAAACCCTAAACCCTGTTAGGTGCTCTCACATGAGATCAGCGGGCAGATTTCTGCCGACTTCTTTAAGCCTTTCAGAGATTTTGTTTTTAACATCGGAGACAGTAACATGTTGAGGGACTCTATGCAGATTCATTAAAGGCCTCCCGTTAACATCTACCAGCACTATGGTGCTATATAAACCTCCCCCACCCACTGCCGAGGCCCGGGTAGCCAACGCCCGAGGCGCCTTCGTTACAGAACGCTCCATCGACATCTTGAAATCAATCCAGCAGCAGCAGCAGCAGCAGCAGCAGCAGCAGCAGCAGAAAGAGCGGGTGCTGTAGATAAAGGAGAAAGGAAGATATTGGGTAGAGCACACGCTGCTCGAGATGAAGCCTGGTCTCCAGATATAATAATCCAGATAAGGAAGAGCCTGCTGCTGCTCTTGCTGCTGCGCTGATACAGATGCTGCAGCTCGCTGCTGCTGCTGCTGCCGCTTGTTAAGCTGATGCTGCTGATGACTGGACAGCGACTCACTTGGCAGTTTCTGCTGCCGTAGCTGCTGCCTCTATTGCTGCTCAAATGGCTGCTAAGTTTGCTGCTGCTGTTGCTGCTGTGGTTGCTGCTGCTGTTGCTGCTGCTGCTGCTGCTGCTGCTGCAGTGAAGGCGTTGTTTGCTGCTTCTCTTCCGCTGCAGTGGACGACAATACAAAGATATAGAGTCAAAAATAAAGAGGAATGAACGCTAAGAGCACCAATTGCCTCTCTCTTAGCCCTGCGTTACAATCGATGCTGCGGTGTATATACAGCTAAACATACAGAGGGCTCCACAACTCTGCTGCCGCCTCAGCATTATCTTTTGTTAATACCCAGAATAAACTAGAAAAAACCCTTCTTATTTGTCTTTTGAGTTGATCTGCTGCTTCCGTTGCTGTTGCTGCTGCTGCTGCTGCAGTTGCTGCAGTTGCTGCTGCTGCTCTGGCTGCGCTGCAACAGCTGCGGTGTATCGACAGCTCGCGGGCAACGGCTATGCATTATTATGTTTCTCTTTGTTATCTTTCATTTTTATTTGATTATAATAACGGCTATGCATTATTATGTTTCTCTTTGTTATCTTTCATTTTTATTTGATTATAATATGTTTTTAAAACTCAATTTATATAATTCTTTTAAATAAATATTATTGCTTGAGTTCCTATCTCCGCGCTCAGCAACACCGCTAGAGAGGCCTATACGAGTCTCAGAGGTTGTATATGCCTTTCTGTATTTTTATTGTTTAATTTAATTATAGAAATCAAATAAGATTGCAATTTAAGAGAGAATGTACAAAAGGAGGAAATGGCTGAGAAGGAGTCTCTTCGTCTCCTGTGTATGAACACGTATCGGTAAACATATAATATTATATGCATATATATATTTATATATTTGCATATCTATTAGATTATATATATATGTATATATATGTATATATTGAGTGTATATATTTATATTTGTTTATGTACTGTATATATTAATTCTATTTTTATTGCTCACACTTCTTGTGCAGCAGCAAACACACAGGTTAAGTGCGAAAACCAACAAGAAAAATAAATATATAAATATATATATATATATATATATAGACGTGTATATGCATAATCTATCTAAGTACAATCTAAATAGAAGAAGTGTATGTTATAGTCTCTTCTCTTTAACAACAGCCTTTAGGAGGCTTTTTCATCAAATAAGAGCTGCAAATACACCTGCAAACGCCCCTACTTGTGGTGTATAGGCATCTCCCGGACTTGCGGTGTATAGGCATCTCTCCCCAACTGCAATGCCTACTGTCTCCGAAAGGCAGTATTTAAAAGCCCCTTTCTGTCTCTTACTGATGATGTGTACAGGCCCCTTCTCTCTCTTATAGATGATGTTTATAAAGCATCTCTGTCTCCTAACTTGCATTAATAAACCCTTATGTCCTTTACTGACGGCAACTAACGCCTGTCTCCTAACAGTAGTAATTAGGTGTCTACTTTATATGAATTTAAAGCCCCTGGCTGTCCCCTACTGTCTCCTTCAACTGGCATCTAAAGCCCCCTTCTGTCTCCTAAAGATAGTAATGAACTGTCTCCTTTAGCCGGCATATAAAGCCCCTTACTCTGTCTCCTAATTAGTCTCAATGCCCTCTATTGTCTCCTTTAAATAGTATATCAAGCCCCTCTCTGTCACCTAACTGAAAATTAACTGTCTCCTTTAAATAGTATATAAAGCCCCTGGCTGTCTCCTAAAGATTGGCTTAAAGAAACCCTACTGTCTCCTTTCTAAAGGATTTACACGCCCCCTCTGTCTCCTAAAGATGCAGCAAATACTCTTGTGTCTCTTGCACATCACTCCTTAAACCTCCA